TAGGCACGCTCCGCGATTGAATGCCACTTGCTCACTTCGCGAGCAAGTAGCTTGGTTACTAACGGTAGGAGCTGCACCGCTAGAGCACGCCATCGCGTTGTGACAAGTTTCTGTTGAATATGACTCTCTCGGAAGCAGTGATGAGATCGACCATCTTACGAAAGGGCTATGACCCCTGCCCTCACAAAAAATCAAAAAAAATACATGATATCGAATAGGATACTTGTAGTTCAACTGTTAGCCGTCACTTTCCAGTCTCCTGGATTCGGGTTCAGCTTTCCTGTGAATATTTCGGAAGCAGTGATGAGATCGACCATCTTATGCCGTACGAAAGGGACTCATGTCCCAGCATTCTGTTACTGAAACCAGAAGCACGAATCTAGATTTTCCTCGTTTTTTTCTCGTGTTTAAAACACTTTCCAGTTTCCCGATGTTATCTTAATAATTCGGAGAGAAAATTAGTGTGCTGTTTTCCACAAAAGGCGAACATGAGTTTTGCACCGGGACCCGGGCGATTCTATCGTCGGCAAGTCAGGTCACGCCGCACACGTCGCGTCGCGGCGTGTCGCGCGGCGACGCGGCGCGGCAATCCCGGGGTTGCATTACCGTACCCATGAGTTGTCGTTGGAGCAAGAGATTAGCATTGTTCCACGGCGTCCTCTACTAACATTCTGGAGTGAATTGCTAGTTCGATTCTCAACTAATTCCCTACTATAACAGCGTCTACCGTTTATTATTCACCGCTACGCTCTCGCTATTCGCTAACATCACTTTGGGAACGGTTTTTTCAGACGTAGACATTTTTGTACGGTTTTCACCTTACCGGCATTCTTTTTTTGGTATCTTATGAGCTCTGAAGGTTCTCTTTTTTATTTCTGGCATATGCACGAGGAGTTGTCATGTGATTTTTTTCAACATGAACCTCATCGTGAACTGCTAGAACTCTCCAGAGTTATTTTCAATGTTACGCTCTTGCAGTCTTGTTCCTTTCCTAGATCCAAAAGTGCTACTGTGGTGCTTTTCTACCCGATTCCGGCATGTGTGTGACAATTTTCATGTGACTTTTAAAAATGAACCTTGTCGTAGACTGCTAGCGTCCAACTCAGCGTCCCAGTTTATTTTCTCGGTCGTAATCTGGCTGTGTATGATATCTATTAGGCCTAGCGCTATCAATGTATAGCATTGTCATGATGTGTTGTTTGGTCCTGAGGATATTACAGTCCCCAGGGCAAACATCGCCTCTGCCCTTCGGCTACATGTGGACAGAGGGGGGTCAGGCGCAGAACTTCTGAGAGGAACCCACTAAAATGCTGACGGAGAGCATTGTTCCGGGATCGGAAAGATATGGTCCAGATGGTGAGGGCAGGGAAGTCGAATATGACTACAAGTCATGAGTACCACTCAAGCTCCCCCCTCAACCTTTAAGCGTCTCCTTCATTCCCCCCCCCCTTTCCTTCTCTCTGTTCCCTCCTTCCTTATCTCTTCCCCCTTCCTTATTCTTTAACTATACCAATACCATATAGAATATAACTATCAAGAAGTAATCATCCATAGAATATATTTATCAGAATTTCAATGTCAACAAGCAACGTATAAGATAATTCTTGTGATCAACAAAAGCAGAGTACTCTCTCGCTCCTATCTAGACTAATGAGTACGGAAATGTGTAGCGTCCATCGAATGAGCGGCACAAAACCTCCAACATCCTCACGCTCTTTGCTCTCCATCATGGGACACTCTGAAAAGAAAACATAAATGAGTTGTTTCGGATGTCCCGAAATGTTTTCTCGAAAATCCTTTACTGTTTATACAGAAAAACTGCTTTGACCAGCGGAGAGGGGAATCGCGGTGCACACGAAACGATAAAAACCACGGACAGCGAGGAACGAGGCACCTTTCCTTAAACTCTTCTATGACCGCTCTCGTTCCGGCAACCAGATAGGGGAGGTTACTTCCACCCCTACCTTGCTAGGGATCTCCAACAACGTTTGAAGATGGAAGGAAAGCCATTTCAAAGTTATTCACATCAACAACTAAGAGGAGAGATCCAGTTTTTATATTCATGGTAATTAACGAAACGAGGTAAAAGCTCCACACTCCCGCGTTCAAAAATGGTAAGTTGTGCTCAAATATCGCAAGATACCAAATAAACAAAAAAAAACACAGAGGGACTCGCTCAGGTGCCCTATGCGAACCCCCTCTGTGGAGTCCATGCTGAAGCGCGCCTGCACGTAAGGGAGCAGTGGTTAGGGTAACTTTACCTAAGAGCACCGAAAGGGGAGGAGATCATTTCTACTGTGCTCTGCTTCAGAAGTCGCGGAGTCCAAAAATGGATGTCATGTTTGTGATCTGGACGATCCAAATACCATCAGATGTGGAAAAGTAACAAATTTAACAGGATAAAGCGTCGCAAACGGCCCCAGCCAAAAACGAAAGGCATACTGATAGGACATCAAATGACTCTATTATGCGTGTTTATTGCGATTTGCGCGAAAAAGGGTGTTGCCGAATGGCGCTGGGGCCCAAAATGAATGTCTAATCCATGATAAGGGCACTAGATTTCATTGAAAAAAGAAGAACTTCTAGATTCGGGCAGATCAACGTAATCTTCGATTAGTACTCAAAGTTCAAGCGTCCAGTGAAGCAAAAACTACCAGACCCACCTTTTGAGACTGCTTGTTGACAAATGAACGGCATAAGCACAAGGCGATGACAAATGTATTAGCGATTGTTATAGAATATTGCTGAAAGCACAAAAATTACAAAGAAATCTGACGGCTAGCAAATGACCGCAACTCACCAACCTGCATTTGTGGCTTTTCTAACAAGCCCTAGCCCGAAGTCACATGGGGAAAGCAGTAATGTTACCTCGCATTCATTCGTCCATCTGGAATTCATTGAATTTTCATTAGCGATTTTTCTGGACGAACCCAAAAGGGTTTAGCATAGAATCAAGAAAAAACTACATTTTCTGTTTTTACGTTAGTTTTATCGCAACATGAGCCAAAAAATCGTTTAACATGCTGGGCCTTTGTCAGCCTGAATGCCCTGGATCTGCAATGCATTGCATAAATATCGGAGAAAAATGCCCCTACCCAAAGAGGATCGCGCCTTTGCATGCTTTACTTCATCTATTTCTTCGCTTGACGAGACAAAGGGTCAATTCGCTTTTGTAATTTGGAAACACATAGAACAGCTCTGCCAAATTCCCGAAATGACCTCAAAAACGACGGCATACTTTTTTTACAAACTTCTTCTTGAGTACTCCTCTTTCTCGAAGTCGTTGTAAACTGAATTAGGACAGAAATCAAAAACTATGAAAAGCTAAGGGTATGCAAAAGGTAAAAAAAGCGAGGGAACAATAATAACAGGTCCCATTGCAAAATGCCATGTTAAGTGAGAGGTAAGCGACCGTTTCTCGGACATAAAGCTTATTTGATACCGCGGCAACTCGAAATCTAAACGTTATAAGTTTTACGAGTAAGAATAAGATGTGATTATGATCTGTTGGGATGAAACAAACAAACGCTGAACTGGCAATAATTGGGGACAGTGCAAGAATTAAAATTTCCGGAATTGTTGAAAAGGGACACTTTCAACACATGGCAAGGACCAGGATCCACAAAAGAGAGTGCTGCTGACCTGCCCTAACTATACACCGATAGCCCTCTCAAGCAATCGCAAAATATGTTTTCAAACAAAACTCAACGAAAAAAAAGCGAAAATAGTGACGCTCACCATTTGTGACATGGTACGCTCAACCTCGAACTTTTTCCCTGCAAAATAGTCTCCAATAATGAACGGCGATGTGGAATGTGAATGAAAACGACGGAACGAGGAACGAAATAAGAGAACATACCGTTTCAGACGAGTTGTCTCCAAGAGTATCACTGGAAACGTCTGAGCCCAGCGGTGAAGGAAGAACTTCATCAACTTCCTGGTTTTCCGGATCCGAAGAGCACTCCGGAGTCAGACGGCGACAAAAATGCTTCTTCCATAGCACGGTTGTCGAAGGGGGCGGATGACGGATTCAGTATGTCCGCTTCATCCCTCATGGTAGCATCTCAAACAGCTGCAATAGCGCTACCTCTTATAGGAGAATTTTTACAAATACAACATAATAGTAGAATTGTCAAAAGTTTACAATTAGCGGAAAGACGTCTTTCGCAAGTATAAGCTCAATAGTAATATAAAAATATGGCTGCAAAAGAGCGGTAAAATGAAAGTGAAGTAGTGGAAAATGAAGTATTTTTATTGGGTTCGGGCTCACTATCACCTGGAAGTCACTGAACTCAGATCTTTGAGAAAACTAAGAAACTGATCTCAGAAAAACGGAAGAAACATGAGGCCCATTTCCAAAAAAAGCTACACTCACTATGATTACATCCACTTACTTAAGAAAAAGTGAGGAACACACCTGGTTGAGATTAAAGAAACAAAGGCCACCAGAAAAATGCTGAGGGAACAGATGTGGCAAATTGCGACTTATCCTCATAATGTTTTGCTTTCTCTGTTAAAATGCTGAAGTCGGAAATGCATGCTCAAATATCGAATTAGAGAAACATTTCAGGCAATATAATCACATAATGGGGCGTAAACACAATCAAAATAGGATGACGATCCCTTTAAGAATTCGAACGAGCCGCAGAGCAATAGAACTCGTACGCGGCGGCCGCCACGCCGCCGGCCCCGCCCACGAGCGCGGCGACCCACTTATCGTCGACGATAGAATCGACCCACACCCCCATGAACTCACAACCGATGTC